CGGGCCATTTTTGTAGAAGTTATGCTGTTTTTTCACTTTTTAGCATATATGCAGCACTGTAAACACATTTAAAGGAAAACTGATAGGCCTGTTGTCATGAAACTCACAGGAGTAATTAATCTTATTATAACGCAGGTCAAGTTCGAAAATTGGCATGATCGGGCCACTATTTTAGTAGTTATGCTTTTTTTTTCACTTTTCAGCATTTATGCAACACTGTAAACACAATATAAGAAAAACAGGCCAATTGTCATTAAACTCACAGGAGTGGTCATTCCTGCTAAAATGCAGGTTGAGTTAAAAAATCAGCATAACCATTAAAGAAATGCCGTTTTTTCACATTTCCTCAGATTTAATTCTTAGGCATGTTAACAGTTTCATTATTTTATAATAAGATACGTAAAAGTGTTTGTTTGGCATTTCCTGCATCTTTACAACATTATTAGTTGATTATGTAAAAATGATGGTAAACTTGTTATCGTGTATTGTGTAATAAACTTTCAAAAATGGAAATAAACTCATATCATTGCAGTTTGTCAGATTCAATCATTAAAATTTGATGTATAATTTGCAGTTTAACGTAATGTACTTTTGCATCAGAATTGACAGTAGCCTATTTTGTGTATAGTTATTTCCTGTTTTTTGTCTGTACATTTGACAGCTTTGCTGCCTTGTTTTTATGCTCATTGAATTTAACTATGTTGACTATAATGAAGATTTTACCTCGATGCTTGCTGCTTAACCAGGAACCAAATCTCAAAATGAGAATTTTTCTCTGTGAGGGTAGCTCATTTGCTTTTCAAGATATCTTTGAGACGGTTCATGGTTTTGACATTCAGCAGCATAAAAAAAGGCCTCCATTCCTATGTAATTCAATCTATTGATTACAATGCAGCATCCGTAATGGACATTTGCTTGTATTTTCTAAAAGTTCATGATATTTATGGTTTCACCATAGAAGTGTTCCCAGTCTGCACTGTGTGTATTTATTTGGTGGCCAGCCAGAAAAATTGGATGAATATTTATTGACTTACAGTGTATTGGAAAGGCTGGAGAGAAAACAAAATGGTTCCTCCTTCAATTAACTGATAGGGGTGTATAAGGTGATGTGGAGTTTAGGATTGGCAGGAATAACCATAATGATTGTGTTATGATTAGATGATGTGTTGAGTCAATACATGGGTGATAGAAACCTAGATATTATAAAGTATAAGAGATTCTTGAATTGAATTATAACTAATTTTTTAAAAACAATTTTTAAGTATTTTGATTATTTTAAACCCCATGCTTGAAGATTTTCTTTTACATTCAATCTACTTGGCTAGATGTACTAGTACTTTAAAGATCTGGGTGGCCTTCAGATTGATAGATTAATTCAGGAGATGTATCATGGATTTCTGAGAATTTATTGCAAGGCACCCGTGGACTGACAGGTAATGCCATTAGCAAAACTGGAAGCGAGTTAAACCGTGTGATATGTAAAACGCTCATTGCTCTACAATGTTACTCGAACAATTATTTCACTTCACAAGACCAACTGTTCTGAATAAATGTGTTTTGCTGATTTAGATGAAGGTCCGTGCTCAAGAAATCTTCAGCTGCCACCTAGCCACAGGTGCTACAGAGCCGGTGAATATTGACAGTGTTGCAAGGAAAAGAGCAGCAGAGTGCCTAGAAAACCCTGTCCCGGACATGTTTGACATGTCACAGCAGCAGGTAAGATGTTTACTTGACACGTGGTTAAGACTAACAGTTATACTAAGTTAGGTTTCTTGTCTCAAGTATAATTTGAATAGGCTAGTTTTGAACTAAAAGTCATTGTTTGACCTATGGATACACCTTGTTTTCAAATTGTTTATGTGATTAATGGTAATAAAGTGCTGCTGTAGGTTTGTTTGGCAGATTCATCAGGCATATTTCTTCGTTGAAGGATATTTTTATCAGTTAAAGAGTATAAATCTCAGAGCGCACACACTTTTTATTTTGTTCAATTTTTTGCAATAGATAAATCATGTCTAAAGTGTCTTTACATGTTTTTTTATTTAACAGATATGAAATGTCAATGTAGAAAACTTATTAAGTCTCTTTACAAAAGATTTAATTTCCCATCATTACACAAGACTTAAGTGTGTTTTAATATACTTTTTGCAGATCTTCAGATTAATGAAGACTGATAGTTATGTTCGTTTCCTGAAGTCTGACATGTACAAAGAATGTGTGGTAGCTGAGATGGAGGGACGGCACTTACCATATCAACCTGAAGACAGCGATGAGGATAAAAGAAAGGTACTTGTTGTGTCAGGGGCGGATTGAGGCCGTCTTCTGGGTCTTCCGGAAGACAGTCAGATTTTCAAATTTACATTGACGGGTATCTAATTTTTCTATCTGAAGACGGTCAAAAATGGAGGATGGATCAACAAAGATAATTTGGAAGACTGTCAGAAAATGTCTCTGGATCCGCACCTGTGTGTGTGTGTGTGTGTGTGGAGGGGGGGGGGGGGGCAGAGAGAGTGAAAAATGAATGTGTGATTTAAGAAAAATTATAAAGAACTCATCCCATTTCATTTTGAAATTATATTTGAAACTTATGAATGTCCAAAACCTGACCTTTTGCTAATACAGCGTATATGCATCTAGTTTTCCTTCCTTTTAATGACATGGTGACACTCTAGGGTATTTTTTTAAAAGTGAAGGCATTGTTATCAGGCATTAAATCAGGAGTGCTTGTTTCTTAAACCAGCTTTATTTCTTGTGCGTGAATCAGTCTGTGGATCAATATTGTGAAAACAGTTTATGCTGTTCTTGTCGATCCATGGGGAACTGTTGCTAAAATTGATAGGTACATCATTTCAACTTTCATGGCATTCAGTCAGATAAAACTTGTCTGGGAAAATGGCAATGTTGTGTGTTTTATAAACCAAAAGATATTTGTAGAATTTGAGGTAGATAGTGTTAAAAGGAGAAAAAACATTGCCATCTT